AAAAAAGGATTCGACGTAGACTGTCTTTCTTTGTAACTTTAGTCCTCCTTAGAAATAGAGTGCAAAGTAAGTGCAAGAAATCAGCTTATGCTGCAGTTAGAAGACTATTTCATTGACAGTAGGCTGGAAAAAGGAGGCGTCTACGTCGATTCTACAGTTCCAAGCTTTCGTCCATATGCCGATTGATGACATAAAGCTTTCCTAATCGAAAAGTCTCGTCTCGATGACCTTTCAGCCAAAGCATTGAGTATCTTAGTGCATCCTTACCAACTATTTTTTCCCTTTGCACACTCTAGTCCCACTACGAAACTGATGGAGTCAAGTATTACCACTTAATGGTTCAGTTTTGCCTGAGCTTTTGTAGCCTTTGTTTGCCACTCAACCAATCTCAAACTCCGCAAACCTCTCCATTGCTGTTAGAGTACCAAGCTTGAAACTTGTTTCTGCCACAGCGATAGTCTTGATAGTCTTGAACTCTCCTCTCCTCTTAACCATGCTGTATCTACCGTGTTGGTCGTGTGCAGTCGCAGACAAACAGACGCACAGACTTCAGAAAAGCAGAAACTTGCCAGTACCGGCTTGTTTCTCTCTAACATGCGACACTATGAGATTAAGGAGGTGAGAACGAGGAAGGGAGGGTTGTTTGTGTAGGTGTGCGAAAGAGAGGGGGTCGTTTGTAAAGGACAGTTACCTGATCTCCTCAACTCTGTTCAGTTTCGGTTCAATGCTACTAGACGAGGAATTTAGAGAGCTTTTCCTTCAGGCATGACATATAAGGTGCGAGGTGCAAATGGAGTTGTCCGAAACGTCTGCGTGACTTCGGAAACGTCGCTCAGGATTTGAAGAGGAGCAGTAGGTTGCTGCCAAAATGAGATGTCAAAATAAATGTCACTTATGCGGAAAGCTTACAAATCCTATATCCGGCCAAATAGAAAAATTGTAAAATGCACAAAAAATGAAGGTCTTCGCTACTTTCCAACCACAACAGATTGAACACTGTATACATACGTTTGAGACACCCTTAGTATTATCTTTGTGGCGACGCTCCGCCGTCTAATCCAGTAAAGTTCTGGTCATGCTGATAGACTTATAGAGGGAAGTTGGTAGATAATAGTCAGTGAAAGGCGTTAAGAAGTGTTTGTTTGCGTCAGAGGAAGACGTTAATAAGATGATTTCAATAAGAAGGTTAGTAACCTGTCGGGAGCCGTTAATATGTTGTTAGTAGCAGGACGTGGTAGTCCAAGGCTCCAGCGAGGTGGTTGCACCGGCAACGGAACTGCGGTTCTTTGCGAGCTGTCCACTATTCGACGAATAGTTTGTTGAGGCCTTATTGGTAGCGGTTGCCGAGGAGCAATAGCAAGAGGCCGTAATTGTGATCTTGACAGCGGAGTGTTAATGGGCCTTAAGTTGAGAACTCGAGTTCGAGTTCCTGTAAGTCTCGTGCTATCATCAATGCGAGGCGGTGACCTGGGTGGTGGTGGCCAGTGGTGTGGTTCGATGCGGGAATGTGGGCGGCGTAAAAGCACTGGTCGTGGACGAGAGGACCTTTGCGTTTGTGGTTCTGTTTCTGCCTTACGGCTGATCTGTTTCGCCACTCTTCGATGAGATCTTCGCGATACGCCGCCATTTCTGCAAAAAGTGATCTGCACAGAATTTGTAATCAAAACGCAAAAGAAGCAGTAAATACACTTTCTATCACTCTAAATCAACCACAGACCTCAGCTAAGTTAACACACAACAAATATGTATAGTTGTTGGCATGCGATACAGGCGTTTCAATTCTTACGACTCGAAAGTTTCCTTCAATCATGCACTAACGAACTATTCTTATATATAAGTTGTACCCATCATGCAGCCCAATTGTTAAGGTATGGTAAGCTTCTCAAAGCAATTTTCTTACCGCTTTTGATTGATGACATCTCCGTCGTTGGTAACAGTGAATTCTCGTCGCTCATCGATTGTTGTTGGTGGGAGAGCATTAAATAAAAGAAGAATGGTATGCAAAAATACAATTAACACATGAGCAGTGAAAAAGAAAATTTGAAACATGGAGAGACCTAATTATCTAACCACTTGAGATGAGCTGTACACCATCGTAATCAGCACGAAACGCTTTTCTTAAATAGCCAAAAATTGAAAGGAGCCGTGCTCCAAAACATGTAAGTCAGTTAATCTACTCATAAGGATTGCCATACTTTTTGTCTGGTGTTATTTAGGCTACAAAGCAAATGCTAAAAAGTCAAAATGTTTTTTCGCCTTTGAGCGCTTGCAGTATGTCTCCTTTCCGCTTAAAATCTTCGCGCTTTATTCCTTTTGGTTTCCATTTTGTTACGCATTTTTGTGGTCGTCGTGTTTGACCCATCCCCACCCGTGATTGACCGCTTGCTCGTAGTCCAATCCTTCAATTTATTGGTTCGATTCACTTTGTCTATAGTGAATCGAACTAATAAATGTCTATGTCCATTCCTCTTCACCGCAGGTGAGCCTAGAATCCGCAGTTCGTTGATTGAACCGAATTTATGTTTTACTTCTCCTTGTCAATAGATATGTTTGTTTTCTCGCTTGGGTTGTTGTATATTATACGATGTTGTATCGTTATTTCGTCGACACGCTTGTGCATCTGCAGTTTGTATACATAAAGCTGGTGTCATACTGAGCCTTTAGTTTCGAAACACTCCACACAGCGCTCGAGCACAGCTGTGCTGGAACTGTTCCCGAACTAACGATTAGTATGACGCCAGCCTAAGTCTGCCCAAATTGGCTCATCATTTCATTTTCCATTTATGGCTAGCTGAGCTGAGAAAACATTTCCAGCAATCTATTGAAAAAGCCAGTCGATGAGCAAGACGCAGAGGATCAGCCAAACTGTCTTAAAATCTCTGGACACCGCGTCAAGTTCTCAGAAATCAATGATGCTGCGATATGATCTTCGAATCTGGTATA